AAAAATAAAAAGTGTGTTGTACAGCTCTCTGCATGCCCTTTCATATGATACGGGGGTTTTTTGTTTTGTTTTTTTACAGCATCAACTTTGACCTTGGGCACTAACAATGAAGATCAAGGTCTAATACTTCACCAACCCATGTCCCCCAAGGACTAGGATATTGTTGTGAAGTTTGAACACCATCCATAAAAATTACTGGCTCGTATAAAGTTTTCAATGATATATTAACATTTGGTGTGACCCTGACCCAATTTCACCAAAATTAAATCAGCTCGAGCTGTTTTTGGTATCATTGCACACAACTGAAAATGAGATTTCGGAACCCAGACTGCTAACAAACAGGAAGACAAACAAACAAACTGAACAACGACGTACTCATAGATAGTTTTATTCTGTACAATACTGACAAGTTCTCGTAAAGAAGCAAATACATACTTTTCAAGTGTGGCCAGAAGTGGATCAGGTTCTGAAGAGCCCTGCACCTGGAACATCTGGTCTCTGCTCAGTCTAATGATCTCACAGAGTGACTGTGATGCATTGGAGTGTCTCTGTTTTCAAGAAGAATAAATAAATAAATAAAACACTGCTAACCAGCTTAAAAATAATTTTAAAAAAGCCCTCCAGTCTTGTATTTCCCTCCTGCTAGCTGACCAGGAGGCTATTTGTCGCAGCCCTCGATCAGTGAGCCAACTCTCCAATGAGGCTCTCATCCCACAGTCAAATAGAATGACTGAAAGTGCAGGGAAGAAAATCCCATCGGGAGAAACCCCACCCCAACCCCGCCTCTCACTGAGGGCACATAGGTACAGAGCCCAGCACCCCTCCAGGTGACTTTCTGCACTTTATTACACACACACACACACACACACACATATACACACACACAGCCTGAAAAATATAACATAGTCCACCTATCTTCAACCTACAATCTGCAAAGACAGCAATAGTCACAGCTGTAAATAGTCTTTACCTTTGGAGGTTCCAGTAGCAGCTGGTGAAAATCTTTGAGTCTGGGTCTCACAGCCTCGAGGATGCTGTGGTTCACTGAGAATGATGGATGAGACATCCCTGGGGGGCACTCCATATGACCCTCAAACCTACAACACATGTCCAGTCACATGAACTAGTGCAAAAAAGAAAATAAAACAATGTTGCCTTGCCAGTACAGTTTGGACCATGATTCAGACTGGGACTATATGATTTAAGGATCCAAATAGGAGAAGTAAACTTTGTATACTGCAATAAAAACAGAAAGAATGTTTGCAGTATTTAGTTCCCCATTTCAAGAGGTATTGTGTTGCTTAAAAATTGTTTAAAAATTTATTTATTTTAAAATCTCCACCCATGTCAAATTAAAAATATCAACTGGCAGATGAAAGGACAAGACATACGCTGGTCTCCTCGTCTCAAACAACGTGAGCAGGATCTGGATAACGCTGACAATTGCAGACTCGTTCTTTTCCTTGTCGAAGATATTAGAGAGCAGCTGCTCTACTGTCTCCTGCCTGAAGAGGAAGATAACAGACACTTAAATGAGGAAAAGCAGGTTTTTTTGCATGGCAGAAAATGACAATGAAATCGAACAAAAACAAAGATAGACACAAGAGAATGAATTAAAGTTTGATCTGGTTGATCGTTATCAAAATTCACACCAATTATCTTATATCTGAGTTCAAAGGTTACGTCACAGTAAAACAAGAGCACTCAGAGCGTAACTCCCCAAAAGGACGAGGGCTATACTAAATGACACT